GGGGGGTGATTCGCAGACAAAGGCAAGATAGCAACAACAAAATGTCACATTGACTTACACTCTTCAACCACATCTCAGTGCTGAATAAAATCTTCCTCTCATGGACTGTTTTCAAGTTTCAGTCTTATCGTTTTCCCCTCTCACACAGATTCAGTGCATTAGATGAAGGTTAGTATTAAAACACAGCTATCAAGCAACCAAAAACAAACACAAAAACTTAAGCATGCAGGATGGGGATTTCATCATAGTCTCAATACAGTCAGTCACACACACACACACACACACACACACACACACACACACCTAATATTTCTGCCCTCCCCATTTATTCACCCGCCAACACACACACCCGTTGCCACTGCAAACCCCAACCCCAAACCATGCCATAATAGGGAAAGAGTCACAGTACAAATCAGGATAACCTCTTCACTTCATATCACACAGAAGGGTAAAGATTAAAAAGGCACTCCAGTCCATCACAGCACACGGCACTTCACTCTCAAGCCATCACTGGCACCTTGGAGAGAGGCTGGCTGAGGGAGGAAGGAGGGGCAGGTGGGTAGATATTTTCTGCCATATCCCTTCTCGGGACTAGTCCGAGTACTGTGGGCATCCTCTCATCCTCTGCTGGCACACTGGTCAGCTGGCAGCAGGAAGCAACCATGGCATAAGAGTGATTATTGTCAGCAGTAACATTAACGTCCTATTGTGTGGTTAAATAGATGCAGGGAAGAAAGAAAGGGGGGGGAGAAGCATTTTTCAGGTATCATCTCAAATGGAAAATTCAAACTCCATAAAACTTGTATTGTATTCAAACAACAAATGAGTCATCTGGCAAGTGAAGGGGAAATGAGTTCTAGTGCCAGTGGTCTGAGCACAAAACAAAACAGTGGCTTTTAACAAGTAGGCATAAGCAAATGAGGGCAACCCCCACCCGTGAGCACATTCTACAGAGAGACATTCACTCTGCACACAGCTTTCAAAGATAGCCATACATTAATGCTGCGGGGCATATGTATGCCCTTTCACTCGCCTTGTGCATAATGAGTTCGCATGTTCTGAGGCAGATTTTGGCCTCAGGCAAGTGACCTTGTGTAGGTGAAGAGAAATACAAAAATGAGAGACAAAGAAGTCCTGAATTAGATCTTTTGTGTCTGAAGAGGAACGGATAGACATACAGTGAGAGCGGGGAAAAAAAAAAAGATGGTACCGAGGCAAGTTAGGGACGAGGCCACAGATGCCAAGTGGTGGGGGGAATGTTGATGACGGCCCGAAGATTATCAGACTGGCCGTCAGCTGGTTTTGTGCTGACAGCCAGTCTGTGTGCACCTCACATAGTGACACTCTGAGAATGGCAGGCTGAGACACCAGAGAGACAAGCTTACAAGAAACCATTTGATGCCCGTAAACATTACTAATATAAGCAGCTGAACTCGCTGTCATTAATGAAGGCTGCATAACGATGTGATGGGAAAAATCCTGCACTCGCGTCACACACTGAGCAGCTAAATATTTCTACATGATAACACAAGTGAAGTTTCAGTGCGTGACTCACCATAACACAGAGTGTGGAAACAGACAGGACTGGATAGGGCGAGAAATTAACAACCCATTTACAGCACCTTGAAGAGGGCCTCCACTCTTTGTTAAAAGGAACCTGTTGTTCTTTGAAGTCAGACAGACGAAGAAAAAAAAAAAACAAAAAAAAACAAACGTGTTTTGTTTGACACCTGTAGAGGTGCGTTTCCAAGGGAGGCACAGTCTCATTAAAGCATTAAGCCTACAACACCAGGGTTCCCATACCCTTCCCCCTCATTCGCTTTTTACCCCATCTCACAGTCTCACAGAGGTGTCAGTTTTCAATATCTCCTTTTGACACCCCGGCAGTTGCAACACTGTAAGGGGAGAAATGAAAGTTTAAAAATAAATAAATAAATAAAAAAAGAATGCAAAAGAATATACATATAAACTGTGTGATGCACGAGAAGCAAGCACATTGACAACTCATCTCCTCGCCGTCAAAACAATGTCCCTGGCCTCAGTGGCCCCCTCAGGCCTTCACACTCCTCCACATCTGCTGACCACAGCTATACACACACATCCAGAGCAGCAAGCCGTAACTGGCACACCATCGCCACAGAGACGCTCTGAGTACTGTATAAAAATCCTACTTCAGATCATGTCCTACTCGTGCCATATGTTGTCAAGTGGGGGGGGGGCTGAAAGAAAAGCCACTTGTACACTCTGCAGCTTAGGGAAGTCTGGGTGCCATACAGAAGAAACTCAGGAGGACAGGTGCTCTGTGTGCCTTTCCACGTCTCTGGGGTGGCGTTCATGGGAAATTAAGGGGGGTGTCAAGACTGTAACATGAACCAGCACCTGTCAGATGCATGCCTCAAACCGGCACTGCGTATGGCAAACTCTCAGGGTCTGGTACCATCCATGCTTTGTGCAGTAGGACTGTGGACATGGGACTTTTCTGTGCCTTCTTAAGGTCTTGGAACATGAAAGGACACCCCCCCCCCCCCCCCATGGGAATCCTATAATTTAGAATTTGTGATATCTTTTAGAACGCTGTATGGCTCATAAGTAGTCCTCATAAGAGTCTTAAGTCTTTTGGCTTCACTGTTCTCAATAACCACTAATATATTTCCTACTTTGTCATCGTCCCTGTGGACTGTCCTGGGATTTCCATGAAGCTCACATATACCTTATAGGGCAGCAACTTACAAATTACTTTTCTATATTAATCCACACTGCTTTTTACTAAGTCATGGTTGCTCTTGTTCCTTTTTATAGAAGAGTTCAATCACAACTGAAGCAAACTCCAACCAAAGCCACAAAGCAAAATCTAAAAGCATAAATATGTAGTTAATGGTCATATAAAACCCAGTAAAATATGCACATCCAAAGTAAAAAAAACAAACAAAAACAATTTTAAAAAAAAGAACCCCCAAACAAAAACAAAACCACATACACAGTTGTGATAAATCACTCTCAAACCACCACAAAGTCCTAACAATAAAAAACTAAGCATCAGGCTAGTTAATGATGGGCTTAAAATTTAGCATCTTTTTAAGACTAAAGCATGGAAGAACTGTTTTTTCTAATATATAAGCAATTTATTTCAAAACCTGTCCCTGTGTTTCTTGCATTTTCCTCCAGACAGCTGAGTGTTTTGCAGTGGTGTAGCTTTAAGGATGATATCTGAGAGCTGTCGGTTAGAGTAGGGGGGCGGGGGGGTGTCATTACTCTAGCGAAATGCTCATTAGCTGCCCAGCAGACCGTGGCTCCTAGACGCTATCCAGGCTGTTTCTACAACAAAGCCACTTGGAGAAAGTCTTCTCAGTGACAGAGCCCGGTCAGGCAGGTACACGAGTCAACAGGCTCCTGCCAGAAGTTAACAAGTGAGTCACACATTCACCTCTGGAATGCACTTCTATTACCACAGATATGCGAATCATCTCCCGGCCCTACAAAACTCAAATATGCTAATAGGCTACTTGTGGAGTTGCATGTGGACACAGAAACTGACGTGTGCTTCCCAGAGGCCCTGTTTGTCAAAGAAATGGTAGCCTAGCGGCGTTGCGCAGAGCGTGATGCGAGCGAACAGAGCTAAGCGAGCGCCCACTCCCTCTCACTTACCCATACTGCCTCTGGATGAGCGCTGGGTGGATGGGCTGCACTCCGATGGATATGCCTGCAAGAGAGGAGGCTGGCTGTCAGACACACATCTGCATTTACAGAGGAGGGCTAGAGAACAATACACAGAGGGCATGGGGAGACAGAGGCAGCGCCTGTTTCGATCCTGCCACAGAACAACAATTTCAAATGTGTGGCGAGCAACAGTACCAACATGTATGCACTTGGGAAACTGGGTGTCGTTCAGCCCATAAATAGTGGCAAGCTAAGAACACATGTTGCACAGTTAATTATAGTTTTTAGCCCTCATGGGGGTGGGGTGTATTTTAGCTAATCAGTTTGTAAAGATGACGTCTAGGCCTTCCCAAGAACTCAAACAAGTATTAAATAATCTTTTGATGATGGTGACCTCATTCTGTCAAGCAATCTGTAGTTCTGATGGGAGTTTGAACCTCACACCCGCTTTCAGTTTTATGGATACTGATAACTTTTGTTTTCTTGCAACAAGTCTTGAAATAAACCTCATCTTACCAGTCTGTAAACTACGAGGCTTGGCACCCAGGTAAGCCAGGTTGACGTTGGCCTTCCTGCCATCAATGATGGGGTTGGGATCCTTGCAGGCCCTCTCTGCTGCTCCTCGATCTGTCATAGTCACCTGGTGGCACAGTCGGAGGGAAAAAAGGCGTCATGTTACAAATAGCTTCATGGCTTTGGTCTGACAAATCAAAACAAAACCAAAACGTGCTTTAAAAATTAAAAAACAAAACAGGTTTTGGTCTTCACGAAAGCCCCCCCCACCCCTACAGGCTTTCTTCTGTTATGATCCCGTTTCTCTCAAGAAGGGGAAACTACAAACAAAGCACAATGATAATCTTTGAAAACTGCCCACAACAGCAGTAGCCGGCCACTCAGCTGCCACACGGCCATGGGCAGAGCTGCTGAAATATGGATCTGGGGAGAGCAACAAGGAGCTTATCCAATTAGGGCCAAAATAAGGAGATTGGTATTAGTCCACCCCTTCCTGGCATTAGTTGAGGCCTTCTGTTTTGATTGCCATGTTCTGCCAACACCGAGTCACCTCTGTGTGAGAAACGAGCAGCGAATGTAGGCCACAGATTGCATTGTTTAAGTGGACCATTAAAAAAAAAAAAAAAAAAAAAAAAGCCTCTTCATCGTGGAAGGATCTGGAACAAAGCCCACTCAGGGCCTGTGTTGTGAACACACAGGAAGGAACGAGGCCGTGTTTACACTGAAGAGCCTTGCTGTGGGGGGGTTCTACTAATCCACCTCTGAAGTGTGTTTAGGAAAAAAAAAAAAAAAAAAGAAAAGAGGTGTACTCAGCTTTGGGCAACTCCCCTGCCCTGCTGCCAGCTACCTCTGCTCCAACTGAAACCCTCAGAAAAATAGAGTGAGCAGGTTGCCTCATGCCACACACACACACACAAAAATTGTAACTCAGCATAAAGTGCTCATCGTGCCACGGTGTATCATCCTCGGCAGCACCCATATCACCCTGAGCCTGTCTAACCTGAAACACCAGCCTCCTCGCGAAGCCGCTCGATACCAGCTAGACTCACAGGACGGGCTTTCTTCTCAGTTAGAAGGCTGATGTGTAAACACAAGAGAGCAATTGTCTTACAATTGTGCCGTTAGAGGTAAACATGAACACATAACCGTTTTCCATTCCTTCTTTGGCCCGAGAGGTCGTTATTTGGGCTGATGCAGCTTTCCAAGTTCTAGTAAATATTTGCATTTCTTATGCGCTTCTGTTCTTTGTGTCAGAAAGAGTGCAGGTCTTTGTCTTGCGAGAACAAGACAAGTCACCTCTTAATGTAGTTTTACACTGGGCTTTGCAGGGGTTCTTTGACACTTCTCACTAACACAGTGTAAATCAACTATGGCCAAACACAGTTCCAACCAACACAATGCGATGACCTCATAAACAGCAGGTTTAAGCACAAGTCAACAAGTTCAGCTTGCAGAATGATGCGATCAAAGGGAAACTTAACATACATGTGGGGAATGGGATAAAGCCAAATTTACTGATGCTGGAATTTCTCTCAGCAGCCAAGATGTGATGTAAATCATGTGCTCCGGTCCTTGACAATGGAGGGCAGGGTGTACAAAGTAAGCCTCCCCACTGCTCCAAAATAACCATATAAAGCCAGCAAGAAGAGCAGGACACACACACACACACACACACACACACACACACACACACACACACACACAGGCAAGGTACTCCGAGGGTGTATAGG